CATTTCTCCTTCTCTTCCCATGTAAGAAACGCTATGCACTCAAATTTTCATGGCACACAAAGGAGATAATGGCTGCACACCCTTTTTTGAATCACTGACCTAGGTGCTATATAATCTGGGCAATAACATTTTGTTTTTTATGTATTTTTTGATAGTTTTGTAATCAATTTCCTGTAATACAGCCTGTGCTGCTGGTCACAACCTTCAGCCAAAATACTCATATTTCTGTCACCGCAGCTCTCAGCCAAATATTATCATGACAGCATGTTCATATCACCTTGACCTCAGCCAATTTTTTCCCAGTATGTGATGGTCACGTGACATCACCTTGGATCCATGGGATTACATGCCAAATTTTTTTTTTTTTTTTCAAAATAATGCAGTGGGAAAAAAGTTCTTTTCTCCAGTAATGAATCTTGTTTTATCCTTCAAGTATACTTGCGAAATTAACAAATATCACAACTTTTATGTTTCCATTGTTTTTGGTATAATTACTAGTATAATAAATGCACTCCAAAAAAGTCAACACAGGATGAGGAAAAACACAAATTCTTTTTATTTTTATTTATTACAATATATCCATATGTTTGCATAGATTTAGATCGGCACTATAATACAGTACATAATCAAATGAATAAAAATACAAAATCAATATCAACAGCATGGTCTTGCATAACCGTTAACATTATTGCTCCTCTCTCATGGACTTCATGCACAAACACTTTAAAATCTAAACAAATGAAAGCCTTATGGGATACACTTACGAGAATCTGATGTACTATCAGAGTCCGGTAATAAAGCAGTATTATAATGCATTTAGCAAATATGAAAATCTAGCTTGGGGTGCAAAGAAATATGAAAAAAAAGGAAAAAAAGAACAAAAAGTTTTCTGCATATACACTGTCATTCAAAACAATTGAGCAGCAAAGGTTACTTTCTTGAACTGTTTATGTACACTATTTTATTTTTTACCTCTCAAAACAAGTCTACAAAGTTTAACAATGGCCTTTAATATTATTATGGGATTTCTCAGTTATTTTTGTTATGAAATATACACCTGGATATACTGACACTTATCATTAAATTTTTAATTTGTTTTACTTTCTGGAATTAAACATACTACATCTGAAGATCACTATGCAGTACCTAACTTGGTGCCAAAGAAAACTGTCCCTACATAACAGTTCTACAAATTCATATCAAATGTATCATTGACAAAAATAATATTAGAATAATGAAAATAAAAAAATAAATGGCTATCATCATCAACAAATACAAGTTTGTTTGTCATTATTTAGAAATGACAACTGCACCTAACACAGTCTATCAGTAACACCTAATTCTAATATATTCAACAAACAAAAAGCTGGGGGTTACTTTCTCATATCACAATTTATACAAAGAGCAATGTCCACATAAGTATATATATATATGGGGTTTTCTCAATAAACAAAACTGCTATGGTATTTTGGGGGTAAGGGTATCAACAAGTATCTCTACTGCATGCAAAGCCACTGAAATATCCTATCAGCAATTGAACAACCTTTTCCAGATTTGTAACCCTGGTCTTTTTCCATCTAAGGTGTAATGAGGTACTGTAACAATAAAGCCTATGACCCTGGTGTAACTTAGCAACAGGATAATGATGTCTTGACTTTTTAAAAAAGTGTTCCAATGCAAGGCAAAAGAGAGAATGCTCTCAGAAGCAAACAGACTGATTATATATAAGAGGAAAAGAAACAAGATGATCCTTTAACTCAGTAAGGATACCCATTTTTAAATAAAGTGGCTCTTGACTTGTGTGTGTGTTAATAACCTTTTCTATTTATCATACCCCAAAAAAAAGGGAAAAAAAAAGACAGAAAAAAGAAAACACTGAAGCTGTGCTCAGCAAACAAAAAAGGTAATAAAATGGAATGTTATCCAAGATATTTCATATAAAATGAACTATAGCTCACCTGCACACGAACAAGCACACACACTATCACATGTGCACATGCACAGACACATGCATAAACACACAAAAAGGTAAAAGAAATAAAGATCAGATAAAGCTAAACAGGAAGCAAATCTGTTGGAAAAATTATGATATTAAGAAAAGTAGAATGTAATAAAATAATAATAAAAAAATAATTAAACTAAATACAGGAAATAAAAAGTAATATAAATATTACTCAAATAAATCATAAATGAATAAGATATGCCATAAATGACACAAAATAGTTTCAAAAGAACAAAAATATGTGAAAAACTATGTGACCTAACTTAAAGAAAATGACAGAAACTGATAGAATACATGATTCAAATTACTAAACATATAACAGTTATTAATCTGTAAACAAAATCAATACCAACTGTTAAGGTACATTTTTGAGATTTTGAAAAATAAAGTAAATAAAGAATTCTAAATCAAAACTACAATGAGATTTATCTTGCCCTACCAGATGCATTTCCAAATGAAGTCAGTATGTACAAGAAGCAAAAACCTCAAGATTTATCTTTGGTATAAGGAATTCCCTACAGCACAGCACAGATCAAGATTCAAAAGTTACTATCCACACCAATATGAACTTCAATGTGGCTCCCCTGTCCTTGGCACTAGAGACTTCATTAGTTACTGAGTTCTCTGTTGCATTCTCAAAATCATCATATACTATCATAAATGTCAGAAATCCAAACAATTTGCAGTAAAATCATGAAAGAAATCTGCTTGTGTTATATCATTTTCCAGAGGATGTTACTAAAAAAAATTGAAGCAAAATACATGACAAATAGGAATAAAGGAAAGAAACTATACTGTTTTCATTTCTCTGTACTTTCAAAAAAATATAAAAATATTTTCACAGAATCTTGATACTAACTTTACCATGAGCAATATAAAACTGTATTAACTTGCAACACAAGCTGGACACTCCCCTCATGAGAACTACCTTTTAGGTGGAATTTAGATTACAATATAAACAATAAAGTTGTTTCCAGTTCATCTAATACTGCTGAACTTCAACAAATACACTTTAAGACAGGGCTTCAGAGTACTCTGCATATCTATATCTAAAATATTTTTTTTTTAACTATTAAAAATAAAAAAGTATATTTTCATGGCCAAGGTAACAGCAGGAGCAAAGTCACAACAGCCCCGTCATTCAGCACCAGCAAATGACAAAGACACTGATTATAAAAGTGATTTGCTCTACTTATTACCTTGATAATGTGGCTGTTATTACTGACTGGTTACTCTGAAATGAACTGGAGGGGCTGTTACAAGAGAAGAAATTTGAGAACCATATTCAGTACTAAGTATCATTGATCAGCAATACTGCACATACTTGGCTGACCATGCACACATCCATTTCAGTTTCACCTTTAGCCAAAATATGGAAGATATGGAAGTACTTGTGCCTTTTCTGATTATAACTAAGGTAAGCCAAAACACATGACCTGAGTCATCTGGGTATTGACACTATCAGTAAACCCAAACAGCTGCAGCTTCAACTAATGAGTTGTAATTAGTACATCAAGCAGAAGAATAAGTCATCAAAATGTGCATAAATATAGGAAATTATGAATATATCCTTATATAAAAAAAAAAAAAATATTCTGAGGATTGTGTCAGCAGTTTCAACTGTATAATACCAAAGTAAATTTGTATAGTTGTCTTATTATATTATCTATCACATTAGTTATGTTATGAAAACCTCCCATATGCTTTTTTTCCCCTCTTGGTATATAATCCAATGAAAACAAATTAAAATTAAAACTTAAAACTGAGTTTCATAAATCACTTTTGTTTTATACATATAAACATATAAACACACAGTCACACATCAGTCAGAACAAAATTGTATATCATAAACATTGCCAATATCACTTCAAAAACCTAAAACTGAAAAATAATATTGACCTTCCTAATAGGGACTCTTGAAACACAAGGGAATGAAGGATAATATATATACATACCTCATCAATGGTAAATCTAACTCCCCCTTTATGGAGTCACTGCCTAAGCATCAGCAATCAAGAGATCAGAGAACATTGGAGATAATGCAGGTTACAGTTTTCGTGCCATCACAACGCTTGCAATCTAGACATTACTCTGACCACATACATATTATTCCTGATAAGCCTGGAGATTTTTAAAGATGATGGTAAAATGTAAGAATATAGGGAGGAGGAGGAAAAGAAGAGATCAAATCAAACCAAAGTGAAGAGAGAAAATAAGTAAGAAAACAGAAGAGAGAGAGAAAAAAAAAAGAGAGAGAAAAAAAAGAAAGAAAGAAAGAAAAAAAAAGAGAAAAAAGTAAAGAAAACAAACAGAAAGAAAGAAATGGCAAAACCTAGACTCTCTTTTGAACAGGATATTGAGAACTCAGGTTTCTTAGGAGGCTCCTTCAGAATCCCTTTTATTAACCTGTTGCCGCTGGGTGGCATGTGCATATATAACGTGGTGCGCCGGTCCCGTTTTCCGGGGGCATGTATGGTCATGCCGTGCACGCCATGACGACGTCTTCATCCCCTGGCAGCGGGGCCTGGGCCACAATGAATACAACCCAGGAGAAAGGGCTTTGGTATCAGGGAAACCACCTGGTGGCTTTGGGTTAAGGGATATTTGAATGGTAGAGCAATTCAAGTAGTCGCGCTTGTGACAAATACTCAAATAATTAATTTAAAACAAAACTATTTTCTGTACAAACTTAGAACTCAAAATAGGTTGACCATAACAGAGCTTTTTAATCTTTCCTTTGGTTTTACTTCCAGATCCCGCATGGATGAGCTAATTATATTCATAATGTTGTAACATTCTAACACACTCTAATCATTATCTATTTGTAAAGACTGTGGATGGCCACCTGGGGTTGACTAAGTGTATTGTCTGTCAAAATCTAATAACAACCTAGTCATTTTAAGTACAAGCTGATACAAAATCATGATCAGGTCATGGTAAATACAAGCCTATACTTGTTAGCTAAGCCACATCAAACATCAATATTTCTCAACAATTAGTATTCTTTGTCTACAGTAGTAAGGAATAAAAGACAAAGAAAAAAGAAACAAAGAGAGAAGGGGGGGAGGAAGAGGAGGAGGAAGACCTTTATCAAAACTTTATGATTTCTTGCAAGAACCAACCACTAACTATACCATGAATGGATTCATAGAGATTTCTGAATGTAGCAAAAGCCAGGATTCAACTCAAAAGACTAGATATTTTAAATCAGTCTCAGATCACTTGGCCTCCAGAGTCATTCCAGTCACATGACTGTCATTAAGCAATTTAGAAGTGCCTCCACAAGGATTTGTACTTGACAGTACTTGACACAAACAGTATGTATCCAAGTGGGCATTACATTATCATCAGAAATCACAAACATGCTATGATGTGACCTCATACAAATACAAACTAATGCTTAACAATAATAATCATATGTGCATGCCAATACTAGGAAATGACCTGGTCATACTAAGTAAATATCACAATACAAGGCTGGTTAAACAAAGCATGAGCCAACACTTTGTTTAAACACCTTTCATTCTTGATACAAAGCCTAGGTAAACAAAGTATGCCATTTATTCTGTTGCACATACCAAATAAAATCTAACTGTTTAATATACTGATTCTCACTGCCAAGGAGTGATCAAGTCACTTTTTCCTGTACCATTGTTCTTATAACTTAACAGATCATTTGCTCAATCTTCCACACTCATGTCATATGACAAAGCATTCACAGCAGTAGTAAACATACTCTATTTCAAGTCCTTAACAAGCATCTGAAAGTTTTCAATCTACAGAGAAAAATATAAGCAAAACTATTTCCTTTCTTACCTTCAGTACATATCACAAAGTGAAATAAATTGCTATGAACATAATTGCATTATATCATATGTACAATGAGGTGTATGTGTCTGTACAAATGTGTTTGTGTCTGTTTGAATTTTTTTTTGCCTGTCTTTATTTGTGCATTTACACGTTTGGGAGTGCATGTACATGTATGCACATTTGTACAAGTTTACTTAATCATTGTGAAACCTAATGAAAGAAAATGTTCTTGACAAAGGAGGAGGAAAATTACAGACTGCAATACAATGTACCTGAAGAACAGTGAAGGCTAGACAGGATTAGGAAACTCTTGACTAGCATAAAATGAAGTTAAACCAAGCAGCAATGGACCAAGAACTATAAGGTTTCTCTCTGAAAACAGAAAGATGAAGCAGGTGCAGTAGAGATTCCTTTGGTGACAGCTTGAATACTGTCATGAACCAACTACTTTTGCTACTATTGACTGCCATTTGAACACAAATCAAAAACTCAGAATTTAAAATCTTCTGCTACTGTCACTTCCATTTATGTAAGTCTATGAGCTCATCAAACATGTATTGGCCAATATAATACCTGTCGTTATTCATAATTCTACCAGCTATATTTTTTTATACTTTTATTTTTCTCAGCAATCTGAACATTGAATGGCTGGCAGATTCTCTTTCACTCTCAACACATAAAAAACTCACGAAACTTGATAAGCTTTTGCAAAATGAAGACAGATGATGGGGGAAGTAATCATATATATATATATCTATAGAGCTATATACACAACATACTCACACATACATAGGCATCATATACATACATAAACTAAAGGAAACTTTATTTCTAAAATCATGCCATGGAGGCATGTACTACTGACATGTTAGTCATCTCTGTCTATTGAAAAGTTATCTGAAGTAAAAGAAAAAAAACTCATGGTGAAGTCTTAATGGATACACAGTATCCAGTACTGTAAACATGCCTGCTACTTCCAACAATATCTTCCTACACAGATATTTGTTCATTATGTGCCAGTTAAGGTATGTATTGCAAGACACCCATGGTTTCCTAAAATTTGTAAAGAATAAGGCATCAACTTGAGGCTAAGATGCTGGTAATGTATATTACTGATGATGTTTCAACTAAACTAATGGGTGATCATCCATACTCTCTTCACCAAGCTGCAACCAGCATTCCATAACCATATAAAAGTTTATGGTATGAGATGGCACAGTTGTTGTCAATTGAGTGACTCCTGAGAATCAACTGTCAATGGAAAAGAGGAGACGGGAACACACAGGTGATGGAACAGTGTTGGTGTTGCATTGGTCACTTAAGACAACATAGTTCCCTCTAGTGGTTGATGTCAATGAGTTTTATGTTAGTAGTAAATAAGGAAAACCCAATATGAGGAGACTTGCAGAAATAAGCTGATCACATTACCAAAACCGTGTTTGGAATCAGTGATCTTGCTGATACTGATGGCACAAACGGTGCGGATGGCAGTGAGGCTCCAGTTGATCAGCAGCATGAGGGGGTCAGGATGCAGGAGTGGGGGTCTCAGTGGAGAATGTGACATAGTACAGGAAGCAAACATTGCACACTCTCACTGCTTTCCAGATACCGTAGTGTGGAAGAGGAACTGCATGCTGGCTGCAGTGTGCACAAAACACCTGTAAAGGGATAATCCATACTTTATAAAA